TTTTGTACGTTTGTTTCTCTTCAGAAACCGAATCTTCATGCGTGAAACTTTGTGTGCTATTTCCAGTGATCACAACTGACATATTCATGTTAGGAAAGAGTGCAAGAATTTTCCGCGCAAGATTCCTTTAAGGGCTCGCTTTCCTACTGATTTGCGATGAGCAGCAAAGAACACATTCCTTACTACAGCTCGAAGCTTTACTGCATAGATCGAAGGTGTGCAAAACTTTGCAAAACTGGAACTGTGCTCAAAAAAGGTTATAGCAACTTTCATTAGGTCAGCGGCTAGGCCATGCTTCTTCCGTATCTTGGAACTGTTACAGTGGAGAATCAATCTTTATATTACGTCAAAAATCATCAAAAACTCTAGGACATGGGTCCAGCATTCCTCATTATAAAGGAACGCACACATCCCTGAAAGGTGTCTTGAACAGCACATCGTGTGACCAACCCTGCAAAAGTTAGACCAGCTAGACTACAGAATGATGCTGCTAACTCTTTACTCAGTAGACCTCTGGCCATGTCACTCTTTTCAAAGACCTCCCTGGCTCCCTTAAAGAGGGACGCTTTGGAACCCAACGCAATGCTGAAGTGACCTCTCCTCAGTTCATCACCTGCAAAACTCCAGCAGTCTCAACAGGAACCATTAGAATGGGATCCTATTGAACAAAAATTTCATATATCATGATTTTATTTTGATAGCATAAAGGGTCGACGATCGATGAATCTTGGTATCGTGTGTGCGATATTGGTGTGGTATCTTCTTAAGTTTGCTTCTGAAGCCACAAGCCAAAGTGATACAGTAGTTTTATTCGGCTAACGCCTTTTCGCCTTCGTCAGAAGCTGGAAAGTCTCTAAAAGTAAAGGTTTTTACTCCAACCTAAAAGTTTCGTTCAAGCCGAGATACGTGAAATTCTGCTTTCAAAATACCACAGAGTTTTTTGAAAGATGGTGTGGTGGACTGTGCTTGGCACGATGCAGGTGGGTGTTTGACTCCATACGGCCTCGCCATTTTGTGTTTTTGGCGATAGGATATTTTGATTAGATACGAGCATAACCCGTCACGTCGGCTTCCTCGTCGATTGAAGGAGCTCGACGGGGAGAAATGGGGGTGCGTCCTAGTAATTGACACGGAAACCGAGATCCCACTGCCACTGTTTGACTTGAAAGAGAATCGTGCGACCTAGTCGTTATGCGTGACTTCTCGATCATTACTAGCTTAGGTGTCTGCAATTGTCAAGTATGGGACAAGATCTCTCACTTTGTGAGTGCGATTACAAGGAGACCACATCAAAATCATATACCGCTGAGCGGAGATGGGGGACTACAGATCAGGGTCAAATGTTTGAAGTTGAGTCGGAATATTAGTTTTTCTGAAACTTTGAGTATAGCGATTATTCACTGCTCTGATTACGAATGTATTATTTGTTCTGGCGGAAGAGAAGCCTAGCAGCTGTCTACATCGCTCACACCGCTCTCAAATGAAAAAATACGGAGAAATTCATGAGCAGTTAGAAGTCAAAAGTCACAGTTTCACGAAACGAAAGCAAATGCTTGAAAATCAGCGGATTGAATTCTTAACGCCGCCCTGTGGCACTCAACAAACAGCTTCCCTCAGGATAAAATTGTCCAAGTTCTTCTTATTCTTCATGACGCCATGGTCCAAGTTTTGTGGGTACGCTTTTTCCAGTTATGTTTTCCAACGGCGTCGGTTCATGCGTCGGCTGCATACAGGTCCGCAGCATTCATGTCGTGCTTCAGGTTATCTAGCCATCGCTTTCTGGGTCGGCCTCTTGGACGTGTACCGACGAACATTTTATTGTCTGCCGACTTGGACAAGACATCAGGAGGTCTTCGTTGGAAATGACCTGGAGGTGGAGGCAGTGAGGAAGTTGACAATAAGCAGAACTTAAAATTCTCTCGAATGTCTCCATTTCGAATGTGGTCTGGACGCGTGTGTCCGAAGCTCCATCTCAATATTTTCGTGGACATAGGCTTTTGTTTTATCCTCATTTGTTACGTTTCTGCACCATAAGGCATCTGGCTAAAGGCTTTGCGACAGAGGTGTGATTTTCAGGAGGGTTCATGTTCTCTTGCCGCATAGGATACCTGTGACTGTCGTATCAGTGTCTGCAGAAAGCGTGGATCTGAAGTGTGCGAAATTGGTCGTCTTGTAAGAAACCTTCCATAACTGACGATTTTGCGACCCCAGTGCTCATAAATTGCGTATTATTGATGCAAAAGAAATAAGATTGTCTAACTCTGACATAGAAAACATGGAAAGTCCTTCCAGTGAGAAATCAGATACGTATAACAATCCGTATATGTACGGGCTTAAGTTTTCTCGGAAAATCTAAAAAACGATGTAATGCTTGAAGGCGTATAGATACTTGGACCCGTGTATGGTTCCTTCTTCAGAATTTTCTGGATAAAGTCAGGATTTGAAGAGTATTTAGACCATTTCATAATATGTTTATGAAGCCAGTCCGCTTGAAACAGTATAAATCATCCGCACTCTGTGATAGTGTTGCGGTGAATTCAGAAAATTTGTCGTCGTCTCCCATGAAACATTTAGCAAAATGTTCCGCCAAAATATTCGCCTCATCATTCAATTCCATCATTCATGACTTATATGCTACTGGACCATCATCTTTCAAATAACCAGCTTTCTCTTTACCGAATTTTCTTGTTTGTATATCTGAAAAACTTCTCACTATTACGAACTCTACAATTTCTTCTCAATGTTGCCGGAGGAGGAAGGAAGCTTCGCAAATTTCTCCTAATGTTACCACTATCTCGTACGTCCAGCATCAATGAAAAGGCAATTCGATTTTTGCCATGTCGTGTACGTATCCAGGCTGAACAGGTTCAAAAGAAGAGAGAAGAGGAGACGAGTCCCCTGGGAACATAGAAGTCTATGGCCAGTGCAAAACGGACAATAAAAGTTTATATGTCATTTGCAGTGGCACTCATTTCAAGGAGAAACCAGCTTCATCGAATCTGTGCGAGATCGCAGCAGACGTGTTTGAAATTATTTACAAGCTTAATATGCGCTGCAATAAATGGGCATAGCTAGAGATTTATGCAGTGACTTTGAAGACGATGCTACTGATCACGTCCAGCTGATGCAAATTTGCGAAATACTATTCCACTATAAACCCATCGATGGTATACTCGGCCATCCCCGTAGCATAACGTTTGCCTAGATTAATGTTCTGGAAATCATATCACATGAATAACAAAACCTTTTTCTGATGATAAAAAATCCAGCTTCATTCACGGGAAGATTTGAAGTGAAATATCGCTGTACAATGTTTGAATAACAATGCCCGAAGCCACTGCTACGCAATGCAAACTACGATTCGTTGACTGGCAAAAAGAAGTCACCGCCTCAAATGCTTTAATAGCACTGAAATTAACGTTTTCTTACTTAGTCGCCCACTAGGAAACAAGGAAAAATGGTGATTATAATAACAGTTTATAATCGTCAAAGTTTCATGTTATGGCCTTTCTCAGATCTTGTCAACTGCGGGATATGTCAGTTTCAAAAGTGTCGATCCATTTTTCAAGAACTAGTCTTTGACAGAACAGTATGAATGAAGCAGAACACAGTAGAATACATTCCTACTAGCTGCGAGTTCCAGTGTTTTTTCGAGGTAATGTGTAGACCTACGGTGAAAAGTTTTTGGAAGTTCAGCATGAGCAAAATAAGGTTAAAAGTGAAAGATTGGTTCAAGTCCCAGATCAAATCTTAACCAGTCCGACCGAAAAGGTCTATGTCGGGTTAAATGGAACAAAGATTATGTGTCTAAAAGTATAATGTCCCAGATTTAAACGACTGGTCGACATGTGGTCAAAATCGCGTTCCAATTCCAGTCCAGATCTGAACGGAAGTCGAAGGAAAAGGATTTGCTGAGTGCTTTCAGGTTTATTCTGTGGAGGGTATTCCAGCCTAAAGAAAAACAACTGAAAGAAAAGAACGTAAAAAGCGTACCATCAGTAGGATAGGTTAACTAGAAGAGGAGTAGCTATTGTCATAGTTTGGTCCATTCTCCTTATTTTTCGCTTCAAAGATGCAACTTCGTTCCAAAAATGGATTTCAACAAAGTTGACTTAAATAGGGAATATCAGGTATCAAAATGATCAGCATCACCTGAAGAACACGTTAGTCACTTTTTTCATACTATTTCCAGAAACAAAAAAGAAGCGAAAAGGCTTGCTGAATACTAGTGGAAGCTGTTTGTCTCTGGCTGTAATTATAGCGAGCGACGCTCGCTTAATGAGTAGCCTCAGGTACTTTGGAATAGAAAAATGAAATTTTCTGAAATCTGAGAGGGCATTCTAATAGCACTCGACGAGCTGAGTCTAATGGTATAGTTTTTCATGTCGAAAAGCGATCAGAAATCAAATTATAGCAAAAAGACGAAAAAGACGCGGATCCGCGTCTTCCGCGGTTTTTTTCTCAGTTATGGGAGGTACTATTTTTCTTATGGTTCACACTACGGTCTTTTCTGTATGAAATGCAAGACGCCTCGCCTCACGGGACGATCAATAGGTGAATGACTGGTTCAAGTTATTCTGTCTAAATCCTGCGATAGCAGGACACTTCTCCTGAGCTCATTTGCAGTTCTAGTGCAACTTCATTCATTCGAACAACGGCATTTGAGGTGATTGAGCAGTTGACATCTCAAATGGAGCGTGCTGAAAGAAGGAAAGGGGAGGGGATGGTACCCTAACAGAGATTCTGCTCGAAATCTGAGGACGAGCGCTTTCGCAAACTTGAGAGTTACGGCTGGTATAAAACTCAAATACTTTTAAATCTTTCAAATAATCCGCATGGATCTCGAACCATGTGTTGACCTGTCCAGCCAAGCCATTACACCCAATGATTACAGTAACACCACTATTGCGTTATACAAGTCAAATGAAAAACGAAATCTTGACATATGCCAGAACTAAATCAACCCTAGTAAGACGGGTTGTCTATTCGATTGCTATTCTATGACCAAATTAACATTTGATAAGAGATTTTCATAAGTCATAGTGGCTGGTAGCTTAGAAATTTTTTTTGGTATGATTATGGTTTAAAGCCGGTGGAACTCAACAGCCCAACAGTTTTTATGGTTTCCTCCTCTTCATTCCTGTTTTCGTTTCATTTTTCATATTTTGTCACGCTGTAGGAATAGCAGTAGATGTGGAGATGAGCAGACGGATTTCGTAACGTGGCATATGAGCTGAATTCTGATTTTGTAGGAATCAAACAGCAGTTCTGTTTGTGAAGAGGGTGTGGGAAAAAATACTGATGGTGAACACGAGTACGCAATACCCTTTCATCTCCAAGAGAGCATATAAAAGGTGTGCACCGCTGTTGTAATGCCACATCCCAACATGTTCGTGTGGAGCACACTTTCTGCGTTGATCGTGAGTTGAGCTTTTAGTTTAGACCAAGTATATTCCGTTCTTGATATATTATATCGACAGATAATAGCGACAGTACTGTCGCGCCAGCAAGCCGTAGCTACTTCAACAGAGTCACCGGCGACAACAGAATCTTCAACCGAGTCATCAACGCCACGGTAATCTTCAACCGAGTCACCAACAACAGAATCTTCAACCGAGTCGCCAACGACAACAGTAATCTTCAACCGAGTCGCCAACGACAACGGAATCTTCAACCGAGTCGCCAACGACAACGGAATCTTCAACCGAGTCGCCAACGACAACGGAATCTTCAACCGAGTCGCCAACGACAACGGAATCTTCAACCGAGTCGCCAACGACAACGGAATCTTCAACCGAGTCGCCAACGACAACGGAATCTTCAACCGAGTCGCCAACGACAACAGGAATCTTCAACCGAGTCGCCAACGACAACGGAATCTTCAACCGAGTCGCCAAC